TTTTTTTGTTTGAAAAATCACTGATAAAATATTTTTTTATAATTAAAATAAATTTTATCAAAATTTTTTTTTTTTTTTTTTTTAAATGTATGTACTTTTTTGTTATATTTGTTTAATTTTATAGATCTAAATACTTTTTGGTTCAAAAAATATTTAGGGACTTAATCGTTCAAAATATGAATATTCATTGGGGTTTTTTCCCGGACTTTTGTCACTATTTTACCAATTTAACTAGTTGTACAAGTCATAAGAATGTATCCAACAGATTTTAGAAAAGTCCAAGGAGTTAATTAACGTGTTTTGGATTGTCCAAGGACTTATTTGCTTCAAAAATTATCTAATGAATTATTTAACATGTTTTAAATTGTCCAAAGACTTATTTGTTCCAAAAAATTGTCCAAAGAATTATTTAACATGTTTTGGAATGTCCAAAAACTTATTTGTTTCAAAAAATCATCCAAAAACTTAATCATTCCAAACACTAAAGTCTTTTAAGTTTTTTTAGATTTTTCCCTAAATTTTTTTACAAAAGTAAGTCCTATTTCACGCATTTAACCTTTTTATAAAATAGAGTTTCGTTTATATAATTAATCCGGTTTTTTTTGTTTGGTAAGAGAACTGTGTGGGGTCCAACTGATGGCTTATCATTAGCTAGCTGTATAGAAAGCGAACTGAATTTACAATGGCCCCCAATACTAATCAATTATGACACAATCAGTCCCTCATCATATTCTTCTTTATTTAAACTTGTTCTATATAACCCGTCCATTTCTAATTTATTCATCACACATAACATATACTACACATCATTCTTGTACATTAAGAATGACATATTCGTCCACAATATTTCGTACAAACATTATCGTTACTCTTTTCACGGTTGAATTTGTGATACTACTGTTATCTGTGGCAAATGCAAAGCCGGCTACGTTCCTTCAGGATTTTCGTACAACATGGTCGGATTCCCACATCAAACAACTCGATGGCGGGAAGGGGATTCAACTTCTACTTGACCAAAACTCTGGTATGTACTTTTTTTAACAATACGAAATTTAGATGCACTGGTGTCTTCGTCGTAACACGACTTGTGATAGTCTTAAATTCGCAATCAAATTTCATGAACACGAGGTTTATATTTTATAGGATGCGGGTTTGCTTCTAAGAGTAAATATTTGTTCGGACGTGTGAGTATGAAGATTAAGCTCATTCCGGGAGACTCTGCCGGCACTGTTACTGCTTTTTACGTATGATTTTTAACCGTATAAAACTTTCTAATGGATTATTTAACATATGGGTGTTCTTGACTATTTAATGGTACTTGATATCAGATGAATTCAGACACCGACCAAGTGCGTGACGAGCTCGATTTTGAATTCTTGGGGAACCGGACCGGGCAGCCTTACTCCGTCCAAACTAACGTGTATGCCCATGGAAAGGGCGATAGAGAACAAAGGGTGAACCTGTGGTTCGACCCTGCAGCTGACTTCCACGTTTACTCCATCCTCTGGAACCACCACCAAGTTGTGTAAGTATTAAAAACATGCAATTCTTTGAAAAGGACAACTAAACAATGCGTATAATATCTGCAGGTTTTCAGTGGATGAAGTACCCATAAGAGTGTACAAGAACAATGAAGCCAAAGGTGTCCCTTTTCCAAAATTCCAACCAATGGGAATCTACTCGACATTATGGGAAGCAGATGATTGGGCAACGAGAGGCGGGCTTGAAAAAATAGATTGGAGTAAAGCACCATTTTATGCATACTACAAAGATTTTGATATCGAGGGGTGCCCTAAGCCAGGACCAAGTGGTTGTGAATCGAACCCAGCAAACTGGTGGGAGGGTTCTGGTTACCAGCAGCTCGATGCGATGGCATCACGCCGCTACCGGTGGGTGCGAATGAACCATATGGTTTACGATTACTGTACCGATAAGCCACGATATCCGGTGACTCCAGCGGAATGTATGGATGGAATTTAAGGAAATTTCGGTTTCAGAATACTTGCCGCTAAATGGGGTTTATGGTTAATATTTGTGTGTTGATATTGTATGCATACGGTGGTCGGATGGGGGTGAAAAAGTAAATTGTTATTGTCTACTATTGAAAATTTATCTCTATTTTTCCAAGTTTGAATGACCAAAAATAAACTTTCTGTAATTATTGTGAAAATGATATGTGAAATATACATATACATACATCTCTCTCCTCCTCTCTCTCCTCTCTCTCTCTCTCTCTCTCTCTCTATATATATATATATATATATAGGGTTGGGTTCACGTGAAGACAAGAGTTTTCATGAGACCTGTAAGACCAATTTATGTTTATTGATCAACATTATATAAGCTAATGAATAAATGGTCTACAGTTGCACGATGACAATTGTATGATTATTGAAAAGTCTCGTGACAATTTTGTGATTATGAATGTTCAGATTGTAGATCTAATCCAATAGTTGAGAATTAGTCTTAAAAAATAAGAGAATAGTTATGTGTCAATAATCTCATTAAATAATACCTTAAATAAAACTTTCTTAAAAATCATATAAAAGACATATATATCATTTGTTATATACAGATTATATATG